CCAATGAACATAGCTATCTATGGAGGTTTCTCCACTTTTCTTAGCAAGTCATTCCAAGTCCTTCAGTCTCATAAGTTCTGCTTTGTGTCCAACAATCTCTCCTCAAATTTTTTTTTTTTTACCTATTTTTCTTCTCAGGAGAGACAGAAAAGGTATCTTGGTCACTCGGCATCATCTGAATGATAACCTTTCCCCGCCACAAAACCTCTTTTCTCGTGTACTGCTCCAAAGTAAAGGTTCTCAGCCCCTTCAACTTTATTCCAGCCTACAGCCCATTGGGATCATATGGGGTGGCAGGATTGACCTACCCAGAGGATGTTTAATGTGGTGGAGAAACAGAGGGTCTGACCCCAGAGAGAAACTAGCCCTGGAGGAGGGAAGTGAGAAACTGTGGCTGCAACTCAATATACCATGGTGGAGGTCTGGGTTAAGGAGGCTAAAAAGAAAAGGAATGAGGGGGACAGAGAAAACTGGGGTGGGGGAGGAAACAGGTAAAGAGTTGAAAAATGGATCTAGGAGCTCCGTTAATGAAGAATGGGAGAACAAGTACAGAGAACTGACTGGAGAAAGGATCCCCTCCCACTGCACTAGCTGCCCCAGGGAGGGAGGGAGGAAGGGGATGGGGGCAGGGGCAGAAGGGTAGGTGAGGATTGGAGTTCAAGCCCTAAATCACCTACCCTCCCCATCAGCCCCAGCTCAGCCCCTCTCCTTTACACCCCGGCAGCTGAAGCTGCTGCAGTGGGGGCCCTCTGACCCTGTTCCCATGGCAACGGGCCTGCAGCTGGAGCCGAGAAACCGACAGGATCTCCTCCAGAGACACCCCCATCTCCACCCACGCACAGGCTCCTGGGGACAAGGGGACAGGGAGACTACAGAGACAGACGGAGACTCAGGGAGCCAGAGGCAGACAAAGGAAGAAGGCAACTTGAGGATAAGGAAGATGGCAGCAGGTCCAGGAGGCATGAGAGGATGGACAGATGTAAGAAGAAAGAAAAGATAAAGAAGGGAAGGATCCCAAATACAAAGGAAAGTGAAAAGAGGCACTGCAAGTGCCGACAGGAGACACAGACCCAGGGATGAAGAGACAGGGACCCAGAGGGGGAGGGGAGACACAGACCCAGGGATGAAGAGACAGGGACTCAGAGGAGGGGGGGAGACAGACTCAGGGATGCAGAGACACAGGCATCCCCGAGAGGGGGAGGGGAGGCACAGATGCAGAGACAAGGACCCAGAGGGGGAGGGGAGACACAGGCACCCAGAGGGGGAGGGGAGACACAGAAAGGCAAGGGATACAGAGGCACAGGGTTAGTGAGAAAAGGGGAAACAGGGACAAAGACACAAAGTTAGAGTTATCAAGAAGCAAAGGGACAAAGACAAAATCACTGAGAGAAAGAACGGGATCCAAAGACTTTTGATCCTCTGAGCAAAAGGCAGAAACAAAGAACTACCTGATCAACAAGAGGAGGCAGAGGGACAGGGATACAGACCAAGACCTAGAAACCAGGAGGCGGCCAGAGAGATAAATTAGGGACAAAGATACATGGTCAACAAGAGACGGACAGGGTCATGGAAAGACAAAGACACAGAGACAGCCATGCCTGGAGACAGAGAAACTGATAAGAAGAAACCGTTGAGATGAGATCATGCTCTGGAAGTGAGAGACAAAAAACCTTGAAAACACAACCTACTGGGAACACGGCCTTCTAGGAGTGAGTCAGACACAGGCCGGGCTCACCAACCAAAGATGAGCCACCTCCACCTTCCTCTGCCCCCAGAGGAATAAGCTCAAGGACAGACCAGACATGGCAGGATCCATCCATCCTGGGCCAGCTCCCTTCTAGGACAGCCATAGAAACAAAGAGAACCTCCAAGATTGATCCCAGAGTGGGCCAGATCCTCCCCGCCTTTCCCTTATCTAAGCCCCTGGCCTGGAGGCTTCCCTGCAGGACAGCTGGTGTTGAGGACCCCATCTACCAAGTCATTCATTTCAGTATACCAGCTGAATTCTGAGTCTCACATACATAACACCTTCTCTATCTGGACCCAGGTGAACATAGACCTTTGAGTAGATACACTCAATGGGAAACACACACAAATCTGTATACAGTCAATAGCAGCACACACCTCTCCATTGCAGCTTGGGAGACATCAAGAAAACTACAACCAGCATGGGTCCTATTTTTGATTGTCCCTGATTCCAACTTGACATTCCTTAACAGGTATGAAAAGTCCAACTTACAGTGCCTAGCACATAGTAGGCACTTAATAAATATTTGTTGACCGACTGGCTATAGCCATATAACCTCAACTCCATAATGTCCCAGGCCTTCAATTACTTAGAGGTCCAGGTGCCCAAGCCCAATACTTCCAGCCCTCATCTCTACCCCTCTACCACCATGGCCCCAGCCCCAGCCCCACCCCCTCCACCCTGCCTGGGGCAGCTGATTCATGGGGCTGTCTGGCTCAAGGCCCTGATACTGCGCAGAGCTGAAGCTGGAGACACGGACACTGCACAGCTGTCGATGGCGGCGCCTGCCAGCTAGTGGCCCCTCCTCCTCCCCAAATCCTCCTGCCCCTGCTTCTTCTCAACCACGAGGCCTGGAGAGCAAGGCCTTGACTACCCTCAGATGGAGCCCCCCAAAACAATTAAGATAAGGAAGAAGAGATGGTAGGAGTGCCTCAAAATTCCCACACCTGCCTCTCATTCCCAGGCTTGTATATATCCACCAGGCACTCTAAGACAAGGATATAAGGAATTAGACATTTTAAGGGCAAGAAAAGTGGGAAACTGAGAAAATCTTTCCTCATCCTAGGACTAGGATAGAGGGCCCAAGAAAGAAACCAGGGGTGGAGAGCCCTATGGGAGAGGTTGGCTGGCAGGAGACACCTGATCCTTAGGGAAACTAGGTGAGAGCCACAGAGGGGCCAGGAAGTGAGAGCAGGTGTGGGGTTTATCTGGGTCAGAGTTCCATTTGGAATAGCAACCCGGTCTAATGGAAAAAGCACTAGAGCAGAGACAGGAGTCCCAGATTATGGCTTTTCCCCCTTTCCTCTGAGATTCCTTAAGTCCACATTGATACTTCCCTACAGAACTTTTACAAGTGGGCTGGCTGGGGCTATACGTAGCCCAAATCAGAGATGAATTGGCTGAGGCAGGAAGGGGGTCTTTCAACCATGCCTCCATAACATTACAGACTGGAGAAAGAACCCCATCATGTATAATGAGTTTTGTCTGTAAAAATATGGTAGTACAAAAATCAAAACACATGCCAAAACATGACTACAGACATCAAAAGCCTGACAGAGCCCAGACCACTAAGCCCAAGGCTCTAAAAGGGTTTCATCCATGTGTATTCATCAATATTGATACTGACAAGATATCAATTGCCCCATGTACTACTCTGCTACCGACTGGGATCAAATTCAGTGGAAACAACATTGGATTTGGAATCAAGAGGACCTCCGTTTCAAGGTCTTCAACTTACTTGCTATATAAGGTCCTTTCTGAAACTCAGTCTCCTTATCTATAAAATGAAGGAAACAGTTCGACTAGATGATCCCAAAGATCCTAGGATTCCAAGTTTCTAAATCCTATGATGTTCCATGACAAGTACCTACAAGATCAAATATACTAACTAAAATGGTTTTGATCATGGAAACAGTCATGTCTAATCATAATCCTAATAGTGCTCTAAGGTGGTCAAAGTAATTTACATATATTAGTTTATGCTCACAACAACCCTAACATATGAGAGCTATTATTATCCGCATGTTACCAATAACAAAACTGAGGCAGAGAGAAGTTAAGTGATTTGCCCAGTGTCATGCAGCTAGCAAATATCTGAGATAGGATTTAAACACAGGTCTTCCTAATTCCAGGTCTAGCATTCTCTCTGTACCTCAGCACCTACCTCTGTACATATACACGTGATCACACAGGTAAAACCATCCCTACAAGGGTATGAGCCCAGAGAAAAATCACAATTCATGAAGTATCTTGTCTTCTTCATGGTTAAAATGTACACCTAGGGCCACCTCAAATAGGAAAAGAAGTCATGCAACCTGAGGAGTATATGCTTGGATACGGTGCATGACGTGTAGTAAGAAATGCTGGTTGCATGATACCTGGGGAAAGGCTACAAGTTATGTGTATTTATGGAAGTCTGTCTTCTTTTTAGCAATAGTGTGCAGCTCTCCTTCTGGCCTGCCTTCTCCCCCCCCCACCCCCCCACCAAAACTGCCTTCCTGAGTCACAAGCTAATGGCTAATACTACCTGGTTCACAAAGCAGTCCTGGGGTGAAGCCATACACAGGATGCTGATGGCCACCACCCCAGCCTGGCTGCTGGGTGGAAAGATCTCCTCTCTTTTTCCCCAACCCAGACTCCCATGCTGTTTATCTGGTCTCCGGAAGTAAGGAGCAGTTAAGCCTGGAGGCTGCAACTGAGCAGAGACACCTGGTGCCAGAGTGGACAGGGCCCCAGCACTAGAGCAGGATGAAGATGTAGATACTGGTGGGAGGAAATCAGGGGCTTTGTCGGGGGAGAAGCTGAAGACGGAAGGTGGAACTGAACAATAAGGAGGAATCCTATGCACCCCTTCCTCTCCTTCGATAACATTTTTCCTAGGTTCTCAATGGAGAGAAGAGCTAGGAAGTGCTAGGACCTAGCCAGATATTGCCCAACCCCTAGCCCTGAATTGTAAAGGGCCCACAGCTACCCAAAGCCACAAATGAAATTAAAAGTTGAGAAGGAAAAAGGTTGGGACCTAGTCCTAAGGAAACCCTACCTCTACCTTAAACCAGAGGCACAAAGCAGCCCTGCTAACAGAACACAATCTTATCTTCTGAGATTCCCCTTAGTGACAACCCCAACTCCCCTTTCCAGACCATGCCATAAGGTGATTTTCATTTCAGTGCAAAGTCTCACTCCACTCACCTTCCCGACCCTCCCAGGTTCCATCCTGCTCACCCTACCCTCACACCCCGGCCGTGACCCTTACCATCCTTCCGGTAGAAAGCAATCTCCACTTTTCGCTCCTCGGCCCCCAGCAGAGCCTGAGCAATCTGGGCAGCAGCCCGGCGCTGGGTTCTGGGGCCATGCAGGAAGTCACAGGTGCAGGGGCGCTGCATCACCTCTGCGCGAGAATAGCCACACAGCTCACAGAAGCCATCATTGCAGTAGATGACAGCACAGTTTTCCACCCGGGCATTAGCAATGATGAACTTTCGGCCTGGGTCGAAAAAGAAGTACATGAAAAAATGGGGGGATGGCTCAGCCCTTGTGGAAACCCTTGCCCGTTTCCCAAGACTCATTCACACAACAGAAGCCCCACCTGTGGAGCAACTGTAGAAAAGGTGATATGGGATAGAAAGAGCACTGACTTGGGGGTCAGAAGACCTGGGCCCTGTCATTCATCACCTATGTGACTGTGGGCAAGTCATTTCCCCTACTGCAGCTTCAGATTCCTCATCTGTAAAATGAAGGGATGATAAGAGACACTCTCTAAGGTTCCTTTCAGCTCTGATAATTGGATAATCCATTCCTAAACATTCTGCCTTAGGAGGTAAAATTCTCCAAAATTCCCTTTTGTAGGGAGAGAAGAAAGGAGATATGGTCACTTAGATGCAGAGATCCTTCCCAGGCAACCTTTAGAAACAGGGGTTCTGGGAGTCTTAGCATCAGCCCTAAAGGGCCCAATCCTAGTTACCCCACCACCCTAGGGGCCCCCATTCCCTGACTGCCCATGTCCACAGGTTGGCACCACAGCTTCTCTGGGCAGCAAGCCAATCTCTCCACCCCCTCCTGCTCCTTGCCCTGGGCTGAGGCCAGCCTGGGCGGGTGTTAGCAACGTGTGTCAGCAGCCTCGTCAAAAGCATAACATCAGGCTGGAGAAGGCCATGAGAGGGTGCCCCCCACCCCCACCCCAGGAGGCTGTGCTTCATCCACCACCTCCTCCTTCCCAGACTACCTAATTGGGGAAGGGGGATGCAAAAGAGCCGTTTCCCTCCCACTGCCCACTTTTTGGCTGAATGGTTCCTGCTTCTTACTACCCACCCCTCACTATTCAAATACCAGCACTGCAGCTCCAAGGGGCATCCCTTTCCCTGGCGATTCCCTCATAGCAAAGGAATTTCTCCCTGGGGATCCCCCAACTCTCCCTCTGCATATGCTGGGCCCTTCCTACTGAAGCCCACTCATTGTCAGCACTGCCAGTCTCCCTCAAACAGGGGAACATTGCAAACCACCCCCACCCCAATAGCTAACACACCAAAGGAGTTAAATCTGAGGTTGGGGAAGGGGAAAGGCTTGAGATTAAAGACCTGGGAGAAACTATGAGGTCATAGACAGGGGGGAGTAGGGCGGGCATTGAAATGAGCTTCGGGATTGGATCTCTAGGACTTACAAGAGCGCAAATAATAAGGCTAGTATAGAGCAATGGAAATGAAGGGAGGGAGGGAGGGGGTGAGCCGGGCCCTGTCAAGGTCAGATTGGCCCAAGGGAGCAGGAACATGTATTCAGGGCATTCCTTTAGGGACTGTTTTGGGGGTACTTTCCAAAACCCAGGCTTCCCACTATAGAAGGGAAGCCCCTTTGAGCCCGTTCCAGCTAGGGACATGTCACACACATTACTCCACCTCCACCCCTTGAAAAGCCAGGCTGGTCAGAGAAAAGGATAGCCTACTATCCCTGGAGGTGCCAGGGAAGACGCTCTCAGGGATAAGTGCTTTTTATAAACAGAGGTTTCCAGCCAAGCTAGTCTTTAATGCTAAGTGTGCAGCATAAAGGGCTTTCTCCCTTTCTCCCTGTCTGCCCCCTTCCTCAGTCAGCCCCTGGGGCTGCTGCAGTGAGGATAGACCCTGGTTGTAACCCCTCTCAACCCTGCAGAAGTGTCACTCCACCCCATCCCCCTCCTAATTGTGGCCCTGGAATGAGGCAATGAGAGTTCCTCCCCAGCAGCAAACCCCAAGGTCCCACCAGTTCATCCTCTCACATGACAGAGAACCTAAGGGTCTCGTGGCTTCTAATTGTTCCCAGAAGAACAGCCCAAAGGAGACTACCTGGAAATGACAGGGATTCTTCTTCCCTTAAGGCTATCCTGCTCTCTCACTTCCAAGAAGCCTATTCCTGTCAGAGCTGGAATAACTTTGGGTCAGTTTCCTCAGATAGTCCTCATTTTCTTCCCTGCCCCTCTCCTCCTCTCCCCTCAATGACAAGGTCTAGTCCCACTGCAAGAATCTCAGTATCTCATCTAAGGACCCCTAAGTCCAACCGTGGCTCAGCCAAAGCCCAGTAGAAAAACAAAACAGACATGGGAATACCCAGCACCAGCTACCCATTACACAGCTGAAAAAGGTGATCCCCAGAACCTGGAGAAGACTGAGAGTTTTCATTACCCTTTTCCTACCTCCTGGGAGGGACCTTAGAGTTCAACTAGCCAAACTTCCTCATTTTAAAGCTAAAAATCAGAGAGGGAACATAACTTTCCCAATGTCATATAGCCAGTTTTAGGGTTGTTGCTTGTAATGGTTTGAGCCCAAATTCACTTCCAACACCATGATGAGGGAGAGGTACTAATTTAGGATTGCAGAAGCTGCCTGGTCCTTCCTTAGACCAAAGGTCCAGATATCCCAAACCTGAAAACTTGAAAAGAAAAAAACTTCTAAAAAGGATGTGAGGCAGGCACACTGCTGGTTACTGGCAAAGCTGGAACTAAAACCCAGTTCTCCTGACTTCCGGGTCCAGTACCTTGCCCCCGAATTGTTGTCCTCCATCCCTCTTTCCTCCACCCAGAGATCATCCTGTTCCTTTATCTCTGGGCAAGGCTTCTTTTCCCTTCCCTGCCCCCATCCCTACAGGACAGACACCCCCGCTGATACAAGCACTCAGTGTGCCTGTCCTGCCCTGCTCGAAGGGTCATGAGCTAAGAATGTCATACTCTCCCAGTTGTTCTCACTGTCACAGGTTTTCACACCAATGGTATCAGCAGCACATATTTGTCCACACAAACACACTGATTTTTGACTGAAGTCTCTTCTGGCCAGCAAGATTCAAACCCTCCTCCCACCTTCCCCCCCCCCCCCCCCCCCGCCCCCCCCCAGCAGGCCCCCCCCCCCAAGACCCAGGATCTCACACTTAGCCCATCCCAACACTCACATGTCAATTGCAGGGCAAGCACCCTAATCCCTCCCAGGGAAGCTGTTGTGCCTGACAAACCTAGCATAGTCTGTGAGTGGCCCTTGAACCATGACACAAATGTTCTACACATTCAGGGTTACATACATAGCTTCTGCACACCCTGGATGTCTTCACTCAATGCACTTGGAGCCTCACACTCACTCACAACACAGGAAGGATCACTAAATACTCCAGGTCATTCTCACTTACCCACTCTCAGGGTTGCTTATACCTTTTATACTCAATTACACACCTCTGTATAATTAGATCATATCTATGATCTCTGAACACCAGGAGGCTCTCACACCTGCACACAGATATACATCCTTTACACTAAGGGTTACACAAAACACACAGAGAATCTCTCTCAGTGTCTCTGTCTATCTTTCTCTCTCTCTCTCTCTCTCACAGACACACACACACACACACACACCACCACCACCACCACCACCACCACCACCACCACCACCACCATGCACGGACCTAGATACACATCCCACAGGTTTAGAATAATCCCTAAGAACCCCAATACTACAGATCTCTCACATAATCAGACTGCACAGTTAAGTTCTGTCACAGCACTCTTAGGGTCACACACACAGTCCCCAACCGGCGAAAGACACACAACCCCTACCCCACCCCCACACATATGCGGCTTTGCACCAAACTTGGCACACACCCAATCCCATCCTCTTGTTCTCCATTCAAAGCCCCCCTCCCAGCTGGCATAGCCTTCTGCCCCCATTTTACACATTTCCTTGCACACTCCCTAATGAACACCTCGGGCACGCCCCCTTACATCCCCCATCCACACTCCAGCACCCCCTTGCACAATCCGGGGCCACTGCCCCCTCCCCCCGCCCAACCTCTCCACACATACACAGCTTCGTAGCCCCCTCAGCGCGCCCCCGCCCTATCCCGCCCACCCCGCACTCACTCTGGCCCTCAAACTTGCGAATGATGGTGTCCAGGAAGGTATTCTGCGGCGCGACGTGGCCCCTCCGGACCGGCATCCTGAGCCCATGGGGCGGGCCGGGCGGGGCCGGCGCTGCGGCTCCTCGGCCCCCTGCGCCCTACCCCACCCTTGGCCGGCCCGGCCCGGCCCCGGACACCAAGCTCCGGCCGGCCCGGCCCGGCCCGGCCCGGGCTCAGGGTTCGGGCGCCCTTCGCCCAAGCCAAGGACGGGCTGGGCGAGGCCGGGTCTCCGAGCGTGTGGCGGGGGCCCAGCCTGGAGCCGCCCGGGCTCCGGAGGCCAACCCGCCCGCACGCACACCTGTCCGCTCCCGGCACCCGCCCGCCCGCCTGCCTTGCCCGCCCCGCAGCAGGAGCCCGCCCTGCTTCCCGGCTGTCTGGCCAGGCGTGGAGGGCACACCAGCTCCCGGCCGGCTACACGGACAGCTGGCTCCCGCGCTGGAGGCGCCGATGGCTCGAGGCTGCGTCTCCGGCTGCTGCTCCGGACTTGGAGGGGTTAACGTGCTGCGCCCCCCCACACACACACCCTCCACCTCCCTCCTCAATCCCCCACCCTCGCCTCTCCTCCCGCCGCACGCCCGCAGCTCCCATTGGCTGAGCCAGGCAGAGCGCTCCCCCCGCCACCTCCCATCGCCACCATCCCCGCTCCCTCCCCTCGCCATACTTAGGAACCCTGGAGACTCAGTGCGCAGGGAAAGGGGGAGGAGACCCGCTAACTGGGAGGACTAGGGGACAGGTGCGAGAGGATCGCCACATGGTGCGGGGTCCCGGGGCTGGGCTAGGGGTGGGGCAATAGAGGGGGATGGTGAGAGATAGGGCGGAAAGGGGATAGGGACCTGAACCAGTCTGTACTTTCTTTGTGGTGCTGAACACATAGTAGGGACGGAATAAATAAGACTTAATGATTTGAAGGGCCAGAGGGGAAGGTTATGGAGAGAGAGAAGAAGGGGCTAGGTCGTTCGAGAAGCCGTGGAGGTGAAAATTGGGACCAAAAGCCGTCCGAAGATGTCAGTGGCTTGGAGAAAGCAAATAGCCAAGAGGTAATGGAACAGGAGCAGGGTTTAGTGTCTCAAGTGGAGAAGGACTGAAGGAGTAGATGCCCTGCCCTTCCCCTCCATCCCAGCAGTGGCCCTCCCAGCCCCAAGACGCACAGAACTGAGTACACCCTGAGACTGCTGGTCATCAGAGGCCTACAAGACGCAGAGCTGTGATGGGGGAAGGGACAGAGTCCAACTGACCTAGGTTGCAGCCTAGAGAAATAATAGATAAGGGGAGAATGGAGCTGGTTTAAAGAATGGCGTTCCATTTGGGGAACACATATGCCTACCCCTGATTCCTTCCTGGAAGTAGCGGATGACTGAACCTCACCTCTGTACCTTCACCAATACCCCCTGCCTCAGGGCCCCAGTAATAGCCCAGCCCAGAGGGAGAACCCCAGTCTCCCTCTCTTCTCTCCTCAAGCCCCTCCCCCTAAGCCAGCCAGCTGGTTCCCTCCAGCTGCAGCTCCCTTATTTAGGCAAGGAGGCAGGGAGGATGCTGAAGGGCAGAATGTCTACATGCCTAGCCTGTGGTCTGAGTGGGGGGCTGTCAAAGTGGGAAGGCATGCTGGCCACTGCACTGGCTAGAGCAGGGGGCCCTGATGGAGGGCCAGAGCATGGTAAGCCTGGAGTGTTGACAGCTGAGCAGAGCTCTGGGAGAGGGGAGGAGGAGTCAGCAGCTGAGGACATCCAGGCCCCCTCCCCTAGAGCAGAGATCCAGAACCTGTCTGGGATGGATGGGGCCATATGGGGGGCCCTGAGGGCTTGCAGCTGCCTCTGTCCTTGGAAAGAGAGAGGGCCAAAGGACAAAGGGAGCCCCAGATCCCAAAATTCCCAGCTAGTCACCAGGCAGGACTGCATTGAGAAGAAAGGGGGAGGAGAAAGAAAGGAGGCATGAAGGAGAAAAGCCTAAAAAGAAATAATTATGAGTCCCCTTTTCCAGGCTCTCTCCCTACCAAATCACCCTTTGGGATTGGATGGGTAGTAGTTTAGGGAGACTGAAATGGAATGAAGAGGGAGGAGGAAGGTCTAGCCAACTAGTGCTTTTTTAAAAAAAGATTCAAATTGTTCTCTTCACTGCACTGAAAACCAGAATCAATGCAAATGTAGTGAGATTGCACCCCCACACATACAAACCCTCCCACTTCAGGTTGCCTTTTACCCTTTTGTGACTTCCTGTTCCTTCCAAGGCTACTTTTGATGATCCTTTAAACCTCATTTCACCCAAATGAAGGGAATGAAGGTGGAGGAGAGTTCATAGTGTTATGTGTCATAGTCCTTACATCCCATTAGGGCCAGACTGAATCCTCAGGCCAAACTCAGAGTGGGCAGAGAAAGGATAGACAGCTGAGTCCAGATTATTCAGCTGATTGAAATCCTTCTCTGTCCAGGCCTGTGGAGAGATTGAGAGAGAAACCACTCCAACTTGTACTTGAGGGTAGTAATGGGAAGAGAAGAATGCTGCCTCAAGCAGGATAGAAAGGTTTCTGAGCCTTGACTAGTTCCTAAGGGACCTGAGGAGAGAGAGAACTAGGCTCTGAAGACAAGGTAGAAACTAATTTACAATGAGACTTCCTGTCCCCACCCTGGTAATGTCGCAAGCGAGAGACCCCCATCTCTTCTTAGAAAAGAGTGAGGCAGAGAAACCCTACTCTAATGCTGATCCCCTAGAAATACACTGGACAAAGAAAACTGAAGGGAAAGTTGCAGGGAAATTTTGCCCCCTGCTCCCAAACCAGGTTAGAAAAAGACCCCTTGACTTACAATCTAAGGAGATGGGGAGGGGGGGTGGAGAAAGGAGAGACAAAGACAGACAGAAACAGAGGCAGAGAAGAAGCTTCCACTGGCTCCATATACTTTTGCTTGGAAAAGCCTGAGGGCCTCTCCAGTTGGCCTCCCCCACAGACATGGCCTAAGGCCATAGGATGATACCAGCTCTTCCCAGGAGACACCTTCGCTGGGACACAATCCAACTGACACCAGAAGATGAAAGGAAACAGATGGTTTTTATTGAGACACCTTTCCCCTCCCATTTCTCTACCAACTTCCTCCCATCTTCCCTGATCCTAGGTTGTTACTGTTCAGTTTTTCAGTCATGTCTGACTCTTCATGACCCCATTTTCTTAGCAGAGATACTGGAGTGGTTTGCCATTTCCTTCTCCAGCTCATTTTACAGACGAGGAAACTGAGGCAAATAGGGTTAAGTGATTTGCCCAGGGTCACAGCTAGTAAGTGTGTGAGGCACTTGAACTCAGGAAGATGATACTTCCTGACTCCAGGGCCAGTACTATCCACTGTACCACCTAGTTTCCCAAGTATAAAAAGGAAAAGATATGGATCAAATCTTAATTCCAAAAACTGGAAAGTGGATAAGAGAAAAGAGATATTTGAGCCTCAACACACATATTCTTCTTTCCCTAGTCCTAAGAGTCTATAATGGAAGAAAGTTACAAAGAAGATGTCCCTCCCCCAGCTGCCTCCAAGAAGAGATGGACGGGCAGTGAAGTCCTAGACCACACAGTGATTATAACAAGAACTACCTCTCAGTCACCAAAAATAAAAAATCTAAAAAGATAAGAAAGAAACCATCCCTGACACTGGCCTCACCTCAATATTGACTATCCTGGGGGAGTGATGGGGAGAGGAAGGGAAAAAACACTGAGAAGCCTTTCTGTTTCCCTGTTCTTGAACCCCAAGGGAGAGAAGAGGCAGTCATACTGAAGGCCCCCTGAAGAGAATGAAAACAAGTTACAGTCAAGGAGGATCCCCAAAGACAGTTATAGTCAGAGGGGAAGAGCAAACACACAGTCAGGTGGGACTAGGAGAAACAGCTTGTGGGGAAACTGATGCTCAAAAACCATGAGGGAGAACGAGAGAGAGCAAAATCTCTATTCCAAATACCCTAAAGTCTGAGAAGGGGATGAGACTGTGTCTGAGGGCCGATTCTCTGTACAAGTGGATCTTGAGAAGTGAAAAATTAAGATGGAGGTAGGAAGGAGATAGAAACTGCCTATAGCATCTCCCTAAGAGCTTGAGTTCTCTAGACTCACCCCTCATTCATACGGAGGCTAAGGACTCATTTTGCTTTTCGCCTTTCTTCAGTTTAGTTGCATGCATGCTGCTGCCTTCTATCATCCTCATTCCAGAAGCAATCCCTGAGCCCAATCCTACCAGGCTGACCTCTATCACTGCTAAGTAGATCTCCCTAATGTGGTCATGGGACCATATGCTGAGAAGTCATAGTTCACCTAGTCTAAACCCCTCATTTTACAGATCCAGAAACTAAGGCCTAGAGAGGTTAAGTGAGTTCCCTCACTTCATACGGATAGCCTTAGACACAAAAACCCCTGCTTCCCAATTCATCAATCTCCTCAATTCCCATGGCCTGTGCCCTCACTCCACCTCAACCACAAAGAGGAATGATCATTGATTCCTCTGTCTCTACCTACATCACAAACCACCCGGTTCATACCATCATCACCTCTTTCCTGAACTATTACAATAGCTGCCTAATTCATCTCTCAGACCCTCATCTGTCCCGTCTCCAATCCATCTCCCACACAGAGCTGCCAAATTGATATTCCTAAAACAGATCTGACTTTGTTAATCACCTGTTCAAAAATGTCCTTCCATAAAAAAAGTTTATTTATACAAGTTTTTGTTTTTCCCATGATCAAATGCCCTACTGCTAAAATAATGAATCCCTGGATGGTGGTCAGGAAAAAGAGCACCCCAGTTCTGTTTCATCTGTTTTGTCTTGTTTTTAACCTATCCTGTCCCAGCATAGTGATATAAAAAGAATAGTGGACTTGGAGACAGAGGGCTTGAGTTCCAAATTCCAATTCTGCATAACCTTGGGCAAGGCTTTTCATCTCTTTGAACTCAATTTCTTCATTTGGATGGTAGGGATCATAATACCTTTTCACAGGTTATAAGGAAAATGCAATGCTATATAAATGAGAACTGTTATTATTCTCCCTAGCCTGTTTTTTGATACTAAGGAT